GCCCCGTGCCCCCCCGCCGCGGCGCTGCCTCCTCCAGCGGCGCTGCCCGCGCTCTCCTGCTCCTTCACCCTCATCCTCCACGGCCGCTCGCTCCATCCTCACAGGGAGCCGCGTCCTTTTGCTCCATCCCCTGCTCTGTTTTAACACTGGACGGTCATTTTGGCCCCAAAGGGCTGGAAAATATTGAAGTTTGCTTTGACTGGTTTAACTTAATCCTTGTGGATTAGTGTAATAAACATATCAGAAAAAACGAGGCGCTGGAGAGGCCCCTTCCTTGGGAAGCAGGGCAGAGAGGCCCTTGGAACGTCACCCGCGTGTCCGTGCGGGATGGTGGGATCAGCAGAGGTCGCGGGGCCAGGAGGACAAGGAGGAGGGCAGCCCCCCAGGGGGCTTGAGCCCATAAAGCCCAGGGAAGAGGAGCTCGGCCCATCCAGCGGAGCCTGTCTGGGTCCGCCCTTAGCCCCATAGTGACGGGGACACGAGCACGAAGGACAAGGAGCAGCAGCGCCCACGTCCCGGCCCGCTCGGGCTACGGAGACAGGCAGAACGCGGCGCCGCGGCGGGGGGAGGCCGGCTCTGCCCTCGGGGACGGGCGCGCGGAGACTTAAAGGCTTTTAGCTTAAACCGAGCCCTCCCCGAGGGGGACCCTTCTGGCCTGCGGCTGCTTGATTCGCAATTACGGGAGGGTCCATCTGCCGGGCTAACCCCGGGGGCAGCGCGCGGGGCCGCACAAAAGCGCCGGAGGCTCCGCGCGCGCCGGGGGCGGCGGGGACAGAGCAGGGCTTTGCCCTGCGCTGCAGCCCTCCCCTGCCTCTGCCCACCGTCTGCAAGCTGCCCCGTGGTCCCCAACACCGCAGGAGGGACCCAAATGCTTTATTTCCACAGCGAGGGGCTGCAGGGGGGCCAGGGAGATGGGAGGAGAGGCAGGCACGGAGCCCAAGCGCGGGAGAGGAGGTTTATTGTGGGAGGGTTATGGAAAGCGAGGCCGGATGAACGCAGAATTTCTGTCTTCCAACACGGAACGCTGGAAGGGGACGGAATTTCCCCAACGTCCAGGAGCTGGTAAGGCACTTGAAATGACGGCAAGGCACGAGGCAGCGCAGCGCTTCCCTCCTTCCTCCCCCAGGCACATTGCAGATGAACCCACTGAGAACGGGGGGCCCCGGGGGCCCGGCTCGAGGTGTCGGTGCCGCTCTCAGGGGTGGAATTTCTTGCCCGTGTCGTTGGCATAGTCCAGGAGCAGCTGGCACGGCGTGAACTGGCTGCCATAGACGGCCTCGTACTTGCGCATCTTGTCCACCACCTGCCTGGCTCCGAACGAGTCTGTGAACCTGAAGGGACCTGCCGGGGACACAGGGACAAAGTTGGGATAGGGCTGGGGCAAAGCACGGAGAAGCACCAAGGGGCTTGGACGGGTGAAGACACTGGATTCCACTGACCCAGCCTTAGGCAGAAGGGAGCCCAAGCCATGGGTGGGTGGTAGAGGAACCCTGCTCACCACCGTGGTGACAACTTTGGGGACAGTCCCTGTTGTCTGCATGGCCCTGGTCCCGGTGGGAGCCCAGGGGCTCAGCATCCTGCCCTTCCCAAGCGTGGCACCAGCTCCGAGGGAAGCAGCGAGGTGCTGCCACCTTCACACCCTGCATGAGCCAAGGTGGGTGCTCTGGCTTGGTCCGAAACAGCCATCCCCATCCCAACGGTGACAGCAAAGCCACGAGGGCACCCTGAGGAGGGCAGGCTGGGGGTGATGCCAGCCTGGCGAGCACAAGGTAGGAGAGCAGCTAGGGCATGGAGCAGCGGGGATTTGTCTCCGATCTGGGCTTGCCTAGAGAAGGTCAAGGTGGGGACTCACTAACAGTCCCAGCCTGGGACCCAGCAGCCTTCAAGGGCGACCCAAACCCCAGCTTGTGCCTCATCCACTGCCCAGAGCAGGGCCGTGTCCCCGCAGCCAGGCTGCGGATGGAGCAGCATGTCTGGCTCAGGCTTTATAGGAGAGAAGGACCCTCACGCTGGGCATGAGTTGCAGCTCAAACCCGACCTCAAAGGCTGCTAGGTGTGGTGGCCAGAACCTGCTAGGCACGAGCACTGCCCGGCTTTTGACCCAAGTGGTGGGGTCTCACGAGCACCCCAGTCGATGCCACTTACCTCCCAGGTACGGCGGGAAGCCCAGGCCAAACACTGCTCCCATATCTCCCTCCACGGGGCTGCTGAGGATCCCCTCCTGCAGGCACAGGGCTGCCTCGTTCACAAACCGCGTCACGATGCGCATCTGGATGTCCTCATCGGAGCAGCTGGAAGGAAACACTCGTTAGGAGTCTGAAGGAAACGAAGCACTTGAGGGGAGGAACTCGCAAAGCCAGCGGAGGGACAGTGCCAAGCGCGGGGGAGGACAGGGAGCAGCGGGAATGGCTGCTCAGTGCGGCTATCCCTACACCCACGAGTAAGTTCTGTGTTGCAATCCAACACAGGCGAGTAAAGCAGCAAGGACTCGATCAAACCAAAGGGTAACTGCTCCAAAAGACCCTTCTGTGCCAGGCTGTCCAACGAGCGTGACACCAGGAAGGGCAGGGAGCCTGGAGGGAGAGGCATGGGCTGCACAGACCCCCCTCCTCCGACCAGCCCACCTCCTTCCCGCACAGGGAAGCTGTCTGCAGAGGCACTCAAGTGAGTGCTGGTAAATTCAGGCAGATCCATGTCCCTGCTAGCACAGAACTAAGAGCCGACCCCAATTTATGCCAGCTGGAACCAGCCAAATGCCATCTATACGGACTCGGTGGTTACTCTATTCCACTGCTGCCTGGCACGGCCTTCTGCTGCTGCTTGGAGCCAGGAGAAGGAGCAGGGGTAGGACCAGCCCACACCATGGCTTGACTCCTGGGGTTACTTACACTTCGGGCTTGCTTTGCACCTTGAACCTCTTCAAGATCTCTTCCACGGCCGAATTCACATTCCTGTTCTTCACCCCCTCCTGGTAAACGTAAAAGCCTTTTCCTGCCTTGCGGCCTGCCAGGGAGAAACAAGAGAGGCGCTTACATCCTGCTACGTGTCTCGCCTGCTCAGGGCACATTTCCCTCCGAGCTTTTCTTACACTTCTGTTAGCACAGGCAGATCCTCCCAGCACAGGCAGCTTCTCTGCATTTCAAAGCGAAGCTGTTTGCTGCCTCACCAAGGACACGGGGGGAGGGAGACTGTCCATCTGACTCCTTGGCAAGGAGCTGCGACGGGGCCGGCCCAAGTGCCTTTGCTAGGGACACACGACTGCCAAAAAACCGTCACCGCTTCCACGCTAGAGCAGCAAAAAGGCACAGGCCTTTTCATGTGGAGAGGCAAGGGCAGAGATGACAAGATCTCCCGAGTAACCCTCGCTGCCAGGTCCAGCCAGAGGCAACGTCTGCTTTGAGGGTAAATCAGCGCACAGCTGCTAAACCTCCCTTGAGCTCGCTTTGCTCGAGCCCCTTTCCCATTCCCTGCCCACAGCCCAGAGTTTGTGCGGGTTTAACGGAGGGGCTGGACGGAGCTCCACGCCTGCTGCCTCCTCTGGGGCAG